TCATTTCCCTGTGACATCTCCTCTGGCAGTGAGGGCGTTGCGAAGTTGCGACATCTGAAGACCGTGCAGAGGTTCACTTATGACGTCATAGGTCAGTGACCTGACCTGACCCAAAAATGCGGTTGGTGTCAAAAGATGCGGCTTGGATCAAAGGTCAGGTATGCCAAGTTTCAACTCTCTATCGCCAGCGTGTTCGGAGCTATCGCGAAAAAACCCTATGGGGTTTTTTCCCGAGGGGGGCGGCACCCGCCGCCCCCCTCGGCCGGCGAGGGTTAAGGACAGAAATGACGTCATTGATGAGATGGAGCAGTGATTTACGGGACAGTGCGAAGGTCCTACAATGACCGCCTGAGGCAGCTCAAGAAACGATGCAATAAGTTTGCGGTCGTGTGTGGTGACGTCTAAAGGAGTAATGAACATCATGTAAAAAAATCAAATTTCTATCACATCTCATTCGTGGTGATGATCAGAACTTTTCGATACCTCCTCGTACTTTGGCCCCTAGAGGCATCCAAAGTTTTTTAAGGGGAAGGGGGACCCCTTAGATTTTCATAAAAACTGGTCCATGGATACAGTTTTGGACGCTGATTCCAATGGTGAAGTCTGTTTTTCGCCACATATTATACTTTGGCCCCTAGAGGCATTCAAAGTTTTTTGGGGGAAGGGAAACCCCCTTAGATTTTTATAAAAACCCAAAAAAACTTTGAATTCCTCTAGGGGCAAAAGTATAACATGTGGCGAAAAACAGACTTCACCATTGGAATCAGCGTCCAAAACTGTACCCATAGACCAGTTTTTATGAAAATCTAAGGGGGTCCCCCTTCGCCCCAAAAAAACTTTGAATGCCACTAGGGGCCAAAGTATAATATGTGGCGAAAAACAGACTTCGCCATTGGAATCAGCGTCCAAAACTGTACACATGGACCAGTTTTTATGAAAATCTAAGGGGGTCCCCCTTCCCCAAAAAACTTTGAATGCCTCTAGGCGCCAAAGTATAATATGTGGCGAAAAACAGACTTCACCATTGGAATCAGCGTCCAAAACTGTACCCATGGTCCAGTTTTTATGAAAATCTAAGGGGGTTCGAATGTGATTCTGAAAGTGAATCTGAATCTGAGGCTGTCTTGACAGACGTGTATTTGACCGATGTATGTACCACAACAGTGTCTGGAAATGTGGGGTGGGACTAAATGCTTACTTCGAAATCTAAGCTACGTTGCGGCATTGGCGGTTATGTGCGGCGTGTATGCCGCATGATTAGTAAGAGGCGACCACTAAATCAAAGACTCAAACGCTCCGACCGGTTCTCAATGAATAACACTGCATACCAAAAATGCCAACCGCTCTCGTCATAAGATATTCAGCTTTAAATAACTAGGTTATCTACATCATCATTTTGAACCAAATTAATACTTTCAACTTAACTCACTCATTCCTTCCTTTGTTGTCTCCAAACAGTCGTTCGATTGTCTGGAAATCGTATGCTAAATCCCGTACCTGTATGCGACTGGTGCATATAAAGGCCGATAAAAGAATTTGAATAGGCTCTGGCATGCGATTTCCTGGCTACCCAAAAAAGTCTGTTTCAGTCTTGCTATCAAAACATGACCTCGCCCGCACAGGGGGGGGGTTGATGCAACCCCCCTAAGGTTTTTCGCGAATAACTCGCTTAAAAAGCGGCTGATCGCGACCAAACTTTCAGTACCCTCGCATTGATCAATTTAACACCCATCCTGAAAATTTCATGACCCTGACCCAAATGACCTTTGGCCTGTGACCTACTTTTCGAGACCATGTTTGGCCGGAACCGCGATTCAGCGTATGTCGGCTCGCATTAGCAGCGCGTTTGCAGTCTTTTCGTGGTTTCAAGCGTTCAAACATGTGATATGATGTTGCCCCCATGCATTAGGGTGGGTGTCAAGGTCACCTGAAGGTCAGGTCAGGTCATTGACCTTTGGTGACCTCGGTTCACTTTTTCGAGTTTGACATGTTTCTAGGTCAGTTTTTTCGAGCTGAATTCGAATTAAGCAACCACATGAACGTTTACAAAGTAGTTTTGGTGCCTTCGTAACATGTTACGAGGCTGTCAGAGGCGGTTGACACCTACTACAAATACCTGGCAGGACCTCTACTGGTTGACCTGACCTGACCTAACCCGACCTGGCCTAAATGAATGAAGACATCATCTGTGATCAAAACTAGCATGATATTCGTGATCAGCACCCCGAAAAACCCCATAGCAGCCACACTACGACGTTCTAACAGGTCCCAATTTTCCCGCCTTTTGGGTCATTGACCTGACCTGGAAGGTCAACCGATAACCTAGGACCTTAAAATTGGGTATCATCGGCTTTCTCTCGTCACGGGCAACACGCTCGTTTTTTCCGCGAAGCTCTAGCTTGATCAGGAGCGAAACGGCAAGGGGTTATACCTTATACGTTCGCGGCTGAGTATTAATTTGGTTCAAAACAATGATGTAGATAAGTTAGTTATTTAAATCTAAATATCCTATGACGAGAGCGATGGACATTTTTGGTATGCAGTGTTATCCATTGAAAACAGGTCGAAGCTATTGAATTTTTAATTTAGTGGTCGCCGCTTACTAATCATGCGGCATACACGCCGCACATAACCGCCAATGCCGCAACGCAGCTTAGATTTCGAAGTAAGCATTTAGTCTCACCCCCCATGACCGGGCCATCCCGATTTGGCTGAAAATTTGCTCACAGAGCCTTCTCAGCACGCTGATTCCGAAAATCATGGTCTCTAGGGTGAGAATCTTTACCGTTCTCGAGATAGAACCCTCTAAAGCTCTTACCACCCATGACCGGGCCATCCCGATTTGACTGGGATGACCCGGTCGATTTGACAGACCATGATTTTCGGAATCAGCCGCAGCGTGCTGAGAAGGCTCTGTGAGAAAATTTTCAACCAAATCAGGATGGCCCGGTCATGGGTGTCGAAAACTTTAGAGGGTTCTATCTCGAGAAGGGTAAAGATTCCCACCCTAGAGACTATGATTTTCGAATCAGCGTGCTGAGAAGGCTCTGTGAGCAAATTTTCAGCCACATCGGGATGGCCCGGTCATGGGTGGTAAGAATTTTAGAGGGTTCTATCTCGAGAACGGTAAAGATTCCCACCCTAGAGACCATGATTTTCGGAATCAGCGTGCTGAGAAGGCTCTGTGAGCCAATTTTCAGCCAAATCGGGATGGCCCGGTCATGGGTGTCGAAAATTTTAGAGGTTTCTATCTCGAGAACGGCTAAGATTCCCACCCTAGCAGGGTTGGCATTTTTGCCGGCAAAAACTAGTTTATGCCATTTGCCGGTTTAAACCGGTTTTAACCGGCAAAAAGTGGCAAAAACTGGCAAAAACTCAGAAATATCACAATGCTATGCCTAGACATGATTTTGAACATGAAACATTTAAAGGAGAATTCGGTGAAAGCTTTATGAGCTTTATGCTTTCAAACAGAAGCGACATTGACCATTGAATTGTTTCATACCTAACTCAGAAACATTTTCATGGACTATCCATAAGGAGCTAGTAAGATGCCTTTTGGGGGTGACAAATGAGCCAGGGCAAGGGTGACTGGGTGAGTCCTGCAATATGAGAAGTGCTAAGACGTATCTGCCACTGATATGCGCACGGCACCGCATGACACCCTACTTACCGTGGCCGCCTTGTCCCACTCTCCCCTTACATGGAAATACATGCCGTTGTGGATGTCTACCGACATGCATAGACATTTCAAGCACAGATAAGTACCTAATGAGGCAACTTCAGAATGTTCAGTGCATCTATATAACTACCTGAAATGCATTTGTACATTTCAAATCCATTCCTAACTAGAAAAGTTGTAGGTTTGGCCATCTAAGTTTTAGCCAGTTTTTGCCAGTTCTTGCCACCAGGGTTTCTGCCAGCCGGTTTAAACCGGTTAAAACCACTGGCAAAAACCAGTTTTTGCCACCCCCTGCCAACCCTGCACCCTAGAGACCATGATTTTCGGAATCAGCGTGCTGAGAACTGAGAAGGATCTGTGAGCAAATTTTCAGCCAAATCGGGATGGCCCGGTCATGGGTGGTAAGAAATTTAGAGGGTTCTATCTCGAGAACGGTAAAGTTCTCACCCTAGAGACCATGATTTTCGGAATCAGCTTGCTGAGAAGGCTCTGTGAACCAATTTTCAGTCAAATCGGGATGGCCCGGTCTTTGGTGCCGAAAACTTTAGAGGGTTCTATCTCGAGAACGGTAAAGATTCCCACCCTAGAGACCATGATTTTCGTAATCAGCGTGCTGAGAAAGCTCTGTGAGCCAATTTTTAGCCAAATCGGGATGGCCCGTTCATGGGTGGTAAGAGCTTTAGAGGGTTCTATCTCTAGAACGGTAAAGATTCCCACCCTAGAGACCATGATTTTCGGAATCAGCGTGCTAAGAAGGCTCTGTGAGCAAATTTTCAGCCAAATCGGGATGGCTCGGTCATGGGTGGTAAGAACTATAGAGGGTTCTATCTCGAGAACGGTAAAGATTCCCACCCTAGAGACCATGATTTTCGGAGTCAGCGTGCTGAGAAGGCTCTGTGAGCCAATTTTCAGCCAAATCGGGATGGCCCGGTCATGGGTGTCGAAAACTTTAGAGGGTTCTATCTCGAGAACGGTAAAGATTCCTACCCTAGAGACCATGATTTTCGGAATCAGCGTGCTGAGAAAGCTCTGTGAGCAAATTCTCAGCTAAATCGGGATGGCCTGGTCATGGGCGTCGAAAACTTTAGAGGGTTCTATCTCAAGAACGGTAAAGATTCCCACCCTAGAGACCATGATTTTCGGAATCAGCGTGCTGAGAAAGCTCTGTGAGCAAATTTTCAGCTAAATCGGGATGGCCCGTTTCTCGCTGCTGGGCTCGCTGCTAGTTTGACAGACGTCCTGCCCCGCGAGAATTTCTCTAGTTTCTGAAGAATTTTTCGGGACCCATGCTCTACTCATACTGCATTCGAATATACGCATGTGTGACTGATAAACGAATATATTGTCTCAGAAATGACGACATTTACAGCCAGATAATTCTAGGAATGTCTCTAGACAGACGCTAGTTTGGAATGTGTGACCGAGAAATCAATACATCATCTCAGAACTGACGATATTTATAGTCAGCCATTTCTAATAATATCCCTGACACAGACACCCACTAGTTTGGAATGTGTGAACACGTATATCCCCTCCCGCAATGTCAAACAAAACTATCTGTCTGCGTGAGAGACTGTGACGTCACACATCAGCAGTCAGCTGTTTGTGCCGCACTCTGGCACAATTCCGTCCCTCTTTGTCTCACTGATCACTGCCACCGACTCGGTCATAATCTGGATGTGGCCCAGTCAGGTGACTCAGTTGAGTCATGTCACTCTGTTGACTCCAGATGCATTATTAAAACAGTAGGTGACTCTGCATGTTTCCGTTGACTACGGATGACTCGCCAGGATTCATGGTCACTCCCATGACTCCGTTGACTCTGGATGACTCGACAGGACTCCATATGACTCAGTAGACTCGTGAGTCAATGCTGGTCCCGGCCCGGCGCTGTAACAAACAGCAAACACAAAGTGAGTCACAACAAACATAAAATGGACTCCATAGGGGAGACATGAACTACAAACAAAGTCGTGACAAACATCAAACAACATCGGAGCGACCAACAGCACAAACTGTTTTATCGCCATTAATATTCTACCGCAGACCACTGTGCGCTGTCCATTATTTATTTCATCACTACATCGTCTACCCAACAATCGGTAGCGGACACCACATCAAGAGGGGACCCACCGGTGGAGTCTGGGTAGAGCAACAGGAGCAGCGAGCAGAGGACGGGAGCCGCCAGCAGCACAGAGCCCCAGAACACCTCGGCGACACTGGCGCCGCCTACCTGGCTGATCCGGAACCTGTGGTTGTCCGTTCCGCCGCGTGAAAGGAAAATACGGCGAGGTTAGCTGCATCTCTGAGCGTCGACCGTATTCTTGTATTTTTTTTTTATTTTAGACAGGAAGCGAATTTTGAGGACTGTCTTTAGATCATATCGTCCATCGTGACCTTATCAATGATTCAAGCAAGTTTTCCCATTAGTCTTCGTACCATGAAATGTAAGAAGAAACATCCCCTACCTACAATGTGACGCCTTACGACATAACCACGTAGGACATGAAGACTTAAGTTGGACTTACGTTATGACGTTTGGATCTTCGGTTACCACCTGAAAAAAAAACAAAAAAAAAACACAAAAACACGTCAATCAATGAACCATCGCAAACACGCACATATAAGCTTCACAGTGGGAATGGTGGGCCGTGGTAGAATATGACGTGTCATGGAGCCGATCCATGGAACCAGTATGGAACCATATGGGTCCCGACCAGTTCCCAGGATTGTTTTCTTTTTGACGAGTCCAAAGAGGTCCTACCATAAACCACACTTTTTATATACCTACTGAGCCTGATTGCAAAATGCGTGTTTTAAAGCCAGTCTTCGGCGTCTTGGGCAGAGCTCTGGAAATACAGAGCGGAAAACTAGAGGTTAGCTTGTGCTTATTTTTGCTTATCAGCTTTCGCCTACTTTTGTATTACACAGCTGTATTCATCAATTTAGCTGATGCTTTTTCAGTTTGACCCTGACTGCGAACCTGCATTCAAATACCGCAAATGAATTAGATAAATTACTCGGAAAACTGGGTGGAGCACAATATGCTTTTCACATACCGGGTATGATGAACTTGCTCAATTATCTTTCTTTTTTCCTTCTCTTTCCACCCCCTCTCTCTCTCTCTTTATCTCTCTCTATCTCTTCTCTATCTCTTTCTCTCTCTCTTTCTCTCTCTCGTCTCTATTTTACTCTTCTCTCTCTCTCTTTCTCTCTTCT